TTCAGTTCAAAATCAAAGAGAAAACCTATCACTCCAAAAAGCTTCCCACACTTTCACTTTGATAATGGATTGTATACTTGCTTTAACTTACCTCTTAAAATTTTACTTGCACCCACACCTTCATAAATATTCAGTACATCCGTATAGAATGTGTTAAAAGAATTGAAGCTTAATTTAATGGCAAGTCCTTGGCTTACACTATTGAAAAGCAAAAAATTGATTACTACACTCAACATTTGTCACAACTCTTAATGCATTCTAGAATTTGAATGTATTTTTCTACTACTACTACTACAAAAAACATAGAACATGAGATTGACATTCTTAACAAATTTTTAGGTGTATGGTATTGTTAACTATAAACACAATGTTGTACAGCAGATTTCTAGAACTTTCATTAACTTGCATGACTGAAACTTTACATCCATTAAGTAGTAATTCCCCGTTTCAGCCTTCCCTAACCCCCAGCAACCACCATTCTAATTTCTATCTCTCAGTCTGAATACCTTAGATGCTTCATATAAATGAAATCATGCAGAATTTGTCCTTCATGAAGGACAAAAATCAAATGTCCTCCAGGTTCATCCATGTTGTCACATAAGGCAAGATTTCCCAATACCATATGTCGAAGATACTATTATTTTGCCCTTATATAGTCTTAACATCCTTGTCAAAGGTCATTTGAATGTATATGCATGGATTTACTTCTGGGCCTCTATTCTGTTCCATTGATTTATATGTCCATTTTAATGCCAGTACCATATTGTTTGATTACTGTAGCTCTAAAAAGTATTTTGAAACAGGAAGTGTGAGGCCTCTAGCTTTGTTCTCCTTCTCAAGATCATTTTGGGTATTCTTTATGGTGACCTTTATGATTCCTCATGGTTTTCTGAATTCTTTTTATGGTTTTGTAAAAATATGCCATTGGGATTTTGATAGGTATTATACTGAATCCATAGATCATTTTCAGTAGTATGGACATTATTATATTATATTACATTATTATAGTTTAACAATATTAAGTCTTTCAATCCATGAGCATGAAATGTCTTTCCATTTATTTGTGTCTTCTTTAAATTTTTGCAGCAATGTTTTGTAGTTTTCAATGTACAAATCTTTGAACTCCTTGGTTAAGTTTATTCCCAAGTACTTTATTTGTTCTAATGCTATTGAAAATGGGATTTTCCTAATTTCCTTATTGGATTTTTAGTGTATAGGAATACAACCGAATTTTGTATGTGTCCCATAATTTTGTTGAATTCTTTTGTTAGTTCTAGTAGGTTTTTTATTTTGGTGGATTTTTATGGTTTTCTAGATATAAGATCTTGTCATCTGGGAACAGATAATTTTATTTTTTTCTTTCTTATTTGGATGCTTTGTACTTATTTTTCTTGCCTAACTCTTCTGGCTAGTATTTCCAGTACTATGTTGAGTAGAAGTGGCCAGAGTGGGCAACCTTGTCTTAGTCTTGATCTTAGAGAAAAGACTTTCTGTTTTTCATTATTGAGTATGATGTTTACTCTGGATTTTTTATTATGTTTAGGTAATTTCCTTCCATTTCTAGTTTGTAGAGTTATATCAAGAAAGGGTACTGAATTTTGTTGAAAGCTTTTTCTGCATCTCTTAAGAGGATTATGTGAGTTTTATGCTTCATTCTATCAATTCTATTAAATTTATTTTCATATGTAGAATCCCAGGGATATCCAGTTGGTGATAGTATATGAACCTTTTAATGTGCTATTCAATACACTTTGCTACTATTTTGTTAGAGGAGTCTTGCCTCTCTATCATAAGGGATCTTGCCTGTAGTTTTCTTTTCTTGTGGTGACTTTGTCTGGCTTTGGTATCAGGTTAATGTTGAACTCAGAAAATGACTCTGAAAGTGTTCATTCTTCTTCAGTTTTTCTGGAAGAGCTTGTGATAGATTGTATTAATTCCTCTTTAAATGTTTGGTAGAATTCACAGTAAAACCATCTGGACATGGGATTTTCTTTTTTGGGAGGCTTTTGATTACAAGTTCCATCTCTTTACTAATAATTTATCTGTTCAGATTTTGTATTGCTTCATGATTCAGTCTTGGTAAATTGTATGTTTGCAGGATTTACTGCTAGGTTACCTAATTTGTTGTATAATTGTTAATAGTAGTCTTTTAAGATCCCTTTTATTTTTGTGGCATTAATTATAATGACTCCTTTTCTGATTTACTTGGCTCTTCTCTCTTTTTTTTCTTAGTTTAGCTAAATGTCAATTTTGTTTATATTTTAAAAAATTAACTCAGTCTCATTGATTTTTTTCTAATGTTTTCCTACTCACTAGTTCATTTGTTTCTGCTATATCTTATTACCTTCCTTTTGCTAAATTTGGGTTTAGTTTGTTGTTCTTTTTCTAATTCCTTGAGGTATAATGTTAGGTTTTTTCATTTGAGATCTTTGTTGTTTTTTTAATGTAGGCATTTATTTTTATAAACATCTTAGTAGTGCTTTTACTGCATATCAGAAGTTTAGTATGCTTTGTTTTCATTTTCTTCAAGATATTTCCTAATTTCCTTTTTGATTTCTTCTATTACAAATGAATTATTTAAGAACAATTATAGATGTGAAGTTTCTTTGTGAGGTGTCCTTATTTCTTGCTCCCACCAGTGTCTGTATGCAGCACTGTAAGTTCTCAGCCAGTTCTCTGTGGGCAAGCCACCCGGCTCTTGCTTTCCCTTGTTCTCTGTAGCCACTAGGCATTCAAAGTGTGCTGGCTCATCAGCTCCCGAGTCAAGTGAGACAGATGACAGTCCCTGGGGTAGCCCTTGGAAAAGTTGGAACATTGGATGTATACTCCACTTTTCTCTTTCTCTCCAAGGGAGAAGCAATGAGCCCAGCCCAGCCATTCTCAGGGTGCTGAGCTGTGCTGGCTTCAGGGAGGAGTTCACACAAATAAAATGAACTTGATCTTATTCATTTCAATGTGACTGTCTTTGTCCTTACCTGGGATACTGTACTTCTTGACTGGATGTGAATTTCTCATAAATGTGTTATCACTGTTAAATCAATGTCTTTGTAAGGGGAAAAAACCTGGGGCTTCTTATTCTGCATCTGTCTCTTGAATGTACTTTTCATAGATATTTAAAACTAGTTTTCAGATGCATTTACTATTCACAGAGATGAATTGTTATGGTTTAATTATACTATGAGAAGAGCAATTCATTTGCAGCATAACTAAAGATATGGACATCATACTCTCAAAAGTCAATTTTTTATTTGGATAATTTAATTTTAATTTGGGGGGAAGTAAGACTAAAAAATGAAACAGGCAGTATAGTGATATATTAATCTTTCCTCAACTGAAACAGTTTTAAAATGAATTTACATTATATTCACTTATTGTTTGGGTGTACTTCCTTTAAAAAAATCCTCATAACCATTTACTTTTAAAACAAACAAGATAAGGACACTTTTGAAAGTATCTGGATTTTGATCAGGGCTAGTCCTTTACATAGTGGACACACCATGCTGTTCATATCATTAATATGGTAACTATCTCATCCTGCAATTGTTAGTTACACACTTACTTTGCTTGCCTACCAAAATTGTATGACTCAGAGATGGGATTAATTTATTCATCTTTGTATTCTCAATACTTTGTAGAAATTAGCATCAACATGCTTGTTGATGATAAAAAAAAGTAATCTATGTAGATGCCAGTATAAGAGAAGAGGAAAAAAAGTGACAGATTCATTATAAAGTTTTAATTTGATATTTAAATATAGAATTTTCATTTTCAGACATTAAGTTTTAGGAAAAGGTGTGTAGGGCAACTTATATTCACAACTCCACTGTCTCATTGCAATGGTAGGATCTGGCATGTGAATGATTCCTGAGTGTTTTGGAGGTACAATGTTCCCCCAAACTCCTCAGAAAGGAAGTGGGCTGAAAGATAAAGCAGAGCATGGGTGATAGTGTCTAAGCTGACTGAAGACTGAAAGAGCTGATAGTAAGTAGAGATCTAGTCTCCAGAGCCAAGCAGGAAAAGGCCTCAAAGGCTGGCCCCAGAGGATGCTGGGTGAACAAGGTTCGTGGGCCAAGAACATGGTAAATTTGTATTTTCACTAAGTTATCAGTAATATTTTGGCCAATCAGGAATTTGGGGGCATTGATCATATAAATGTAATTGATTTTGAAACTCTAAAGATCATTGCTGGGAGATATTCATTTGTGGCAAGACCTCAGTTTTGGCAAACACTGTCTTAGATCCTGGTCAGGGCTGGAGTTCAGGGCTGGAGTTTTGTATTCCGGGAATGAAATTGTAGCTACCAGTGGGGCAGGATTAAAAGACAGCTAAACAGTAACCCAGGTTTTAGGATCTGACTAGTGTTTGTGTCACGGAGGTAAAGTTAGAACAGTGTATTGTTTTAAAAAAAAATTAACATATGAATCTCAATCCTGATTATCAGATTCAGCAGCTCTGGAGCAGATTCTAGGATGGATGAATATTTTTAAATACTCCAGGTGTGACTGTGATGCGCTGTCGGGTTTGAGCACCACTGGAGGAAGACTGGTAGGTTCAACAGATGCCACTCTCAGGGGCTACTCTCAGACGTGTTTGGTAACCAGGGGAAGTTGGCTGGGGTACAGGAGATCAACATGAAGGAGCAGCAGATCTCCCCAACAGACTGAAAGAAGAGCAAGAAGACGGCAGCCATGATATAATTTTTGCCTCTGTTAGGTCAGTTCAGAAATAAGGGAGTGAGCCTGCTGCTGAGCCTGCCCGGGAATCCAGGATTAATGCTGAAGAAGACAAGAGGAAGAAGAAATGAAGCAGTCCTCAGGGATATCTATTCTTCTAATTAAAGTTTTGGTGTTTCTAAGCAAGACTATAGTGTGTTTTTCTTCATGTAATGTTTTCAAGCTATGAAACTAACAGAGGCAAAGGAAGCTCCTTAGGAACTTTTATTTTCAGACTTTCTTTACTTTTTCAAAACAGGAAATGGAAGGAAGAAGAGAAGAACAAGTGCATACTGCTTTCTACTTCTGATTCAGAAATACTAACCTACTTGAATTTAAAAAATGGGTATTTATAAAGGTAAAATGAATTAGAAAACAGAATATCTAATATCTTTACAATATTAGACATTTATACCTTTTGTTTTTTTAAGAGAATGGATACTTTTCTAAGAGTAATTTGTATATTTTGCATTTTTGTGTTGATAGCTAATCTTTTTTAGAGCCAACTTTTTTTGAGCACTCAATACAGGGCTTTGCACTTTATATTCATTATTACATTTAATAATGAGTTTGGATCCTGAAGTTAGAGATCTTGACATCTATTGATGTACAAATTTTGCATCAAAGAGATTTAGTCATCTGCCTAAGATCACACCTCTTGAATCTGAACATGGCAAATCTGAACTCACACGGACTATCTCCAGAGCTCATATTCTTAATATCTGACACTCTGCTAAGAGTGGTCTTGATATAATTCCAAGGCTGGTCTGGTCTATATAGTTTAATTACATCTTTAACATTTCTTTGCTATTTAATTGGTCTTCTAAGCTTGAAGGAAACATCATTGTCTTTACCCCTACTTTGATCACCATTAAGAAAAATGAACTATCAAGTACAATGTATCACTAACGTAGTAATCAGTTTTGAGAAGAAAAACTACTTATAGTAGTTATTTGATTAATTAAATCATATTTTCATTATGAAATAGTATTTGTTTAGGGTAATATTTTAGATTCTTTGGGTTTTAAAAATCATCCCTGTACCAATGGTGGATTTATTAAAATAGATTTAAAAATAAAGCAATGGAAGAGGAAGTAGAAAGAATAGAACCATATATCCTTAATTAACAGTGTGATCATTACATAAATGATATTACTAACATAGCAGAGTTTATTGTGTTCTGTTCACAAACTCTCTTGTAAATTTAACCTAGATTTATTAATAAGTGAATTTAACAATTAAATTATGTTTATTTGGTATTAATAAAGTTCCAAATATTCACAAAGAAATGGTTTAGAATTCATGTTCTTTCCATTTTTACCGGAAGTAATTCAAGATTTGTCCAAGGTTTACTGCTGACATTTTATAAGTAAAGAATAGAATTTTTTTCATATTACTTATAAACAATGTTAACAACCACTTGTAAAATCTTCTTTATAAATTTGATGTGATTATATTGGAAACAATATCCTTTAAATCAGTTAATTTTTACTTGGCATATAAGCTTCCATTTTTAATACAAAATCTTATCTTTGGCACACAAGTAACTTGTTGTCTTTTGCATGAAAATGGGAAATAGTGCTCTTAGTTTTATCACATAACTTACATGGGGCTGAGCTCCTGAATAGAAATTATTTAGAGAACAGGATGTTCTTTTTTCCCTGAACAATGAAATGTAAATACATTTAGATATGCCTACACAACAAAACAACCCTTGTGAATCTTTATGGGGCCATTTCCAAACACATATTTGGTAAGAACTTACTTGGAACCTTCTTTAATCTGCTGTGATATTGATTCCTTAGTGTCCTAGTAAGTCATCATAACAATTAAAACTATTATACAGTAGGCCAAACTAAGAAACCGTGATCTCATCCAGCTGTTAAGAGAAATGAACTAACTAGAATGTCATCTTTCAAAGTGAATTCCATAGAACACTTAGTCTGAATAATTTATGGAGGAAAATGTTCAGTGGCTTAAGATAAAAATTGTTTTTGAGATTTACATTGCCTATTAAGTTATTTGAAGCTATAAGAAGTCTTATACTTTTTTTTGAGCTGTAATGAGGCTATTTCAGTATTACTTATATTTATTTGAGTACGAACTATTTTTCCTTTGAAATATCTGGGAGGAGCATTAGGTACAACTCCTCTATGACAAATGTGTAGATAAACATTAAAGTAGATCAGCCAACAGTAGCTTGATTATTTTGATCATCATAATGATTGTATTAGTCAATTGAACTAAGAGTTTGGAGGCCAAATATATGGTGTGTGTTCCAAATGTTATTCGAGATATTGCAGAAAAGATGTATGCAGAGGGTGTTCCCAGCTCTTAAGTTGCTATGATTGCATCATAGAAGATTAGATTTTCATACAGATGCTGGCATAATGGGGAAGAAACTATTCTGTGGCCAGAATGCAACTGATGTGAAATACCATTTCTTGCAATACACAGACATACATGCATGCTTTTCACCTTGGCAGCACTTGATTTTTGCCAACGACAGGAAAAAACTTGCTACAGAGCCCAGTAAGATGGCTCCACTTATTAGACAGTATTGATCATAGGACAGAATACCTTTTAAAAGGTTAAGAATGAAAGAGAAACTTCTTAGACAGGCTATTAGTTGAGAAGGCTTTGCTTCTTCACTAATGAAAATGATTGTTAAAAAAAAATGCACTGCTAAAGATGGTAAGACTTATTGTATCAGAGGAAGACTATGACATAAGAACAGGGAATAGAAGACAGCATATTACCATATAATCCACTGGCAAACAATGCTTGGTTTAGAAGGTTTTGGATACTGGGAAGCCTGGAAGGACCCAGAAGATCCAGTCAACAAAAATCTTCCATCACAGGCTGTGGCTGTGAAAAAAATGGCAATTAATGTTAAACAAAAACAATCTTGGAAGGGTTAATTAAATGAAATGGGATTCAAATTGGCTAACGAATACTACATAGAGTACTCATGACTGAATGTGTAGGAGGCCATTTTACAAAGCTGAAATGATCAAATGGGAGAAGATCAGATCTCACGTTTAAAATCTGTTGGCTATTTTCAAATACTCTTACACACGCCATCATGTAGTCCTTTAGAAAAGCCCTCTATTTGTAAATACCTATGCGTAACCTCCACTTTCAGTACATTCTTTCATATTTGTAGGGAAACAAATACATTTAAATTGTAAATTTTCAATTTAGACAAACAACTAATATTTGTTTATTTTCCTCTTCAAATAAGAACCATGGTGAATTTCAAAAATGTGTACTAAGTGCTATGTATTCCTATAAATGATAAGAATATACCAGGCAAATGATACATATGGCACCAGTGGCCTGTATGGAATTATATCCAACCGATCTATGCAACTCATCTTTTAAAATTTTGCTTCTTTTGTATGGGTTTGCCATCTAGATCAATATTTTCATTCAATATTCCTGAATATGTTTTCTGCTTTCTATAAGTACTCACTTTCCTCTTTTAATTCTTGTAGCATACTTTAATTTTAATGTCATACTTTATTTGTTGTCTTTAAATTACATCAGAATCGTTTCCAACTAGAATCTTACTGAAGCCATGAACCAGGAGCCATACCTTACGACTTCTGTCCTCCTCTTACAGTTGCTGTGTATAGTATGAGCGAAAAAACCCATTTGGTTTTCATACTTATTAGTTTTTCTTAGATTATCTTGTACATACCGAGTTTCTTAACTCTGTTGATGCCATATTCAAAAATGATTCTTAGAATGTGTCCTTTTCCCCCTTGCCTCATATGCCAGAAGCATAATTCAGGCAGGGAAATCAAACATATTTATTAAAATAAAATTGTTGCTCCTCTAATCTGAGAGCTAGAATAAGCTCATCCTAAACTGATGGATGACACATCCCACTGTAACATTATATAGCAGTTCTATCAAGTTATAAATTCAAGCTATTATATGACATCAAATCCATAGTTTACATAGATAAAAGGAAAAAATGATAAATTGAAATCTAGATAAATGTCTCTTGGTTTTGGGTGGCTTTTTGCTATTTTTTATTTTTATTTTTTTTAAAAGCATAAAAATGCTTTGGTAAATAAATTTTAAAACTTGAAGTCTATTTAAGAAAAATGGCCTAGGAATTACTTGCGTTGGATTATGACTTGATAATCTGATTCCCATAAGGAACAAAACAAACAAACAAAAAAACAGACCAGAAACATAATAACTGAAAGTGCAAGGATTAAACTCTGAAAAATCCATCACAGCCCCACAGACCTCAGGAAAGGAAAGGAAGGATACGGTGGCTTGTTGAGAGAACTTAATCTCCTTATGTGTGATACTGGAGCAAATAAGGATAATTAGGGATAATTTGTATGATTTGAAGAAAAACAGTACAAAATGTGACTTTTTAATGTAGAACTAAATAGTTTTCTAGTTGTTAAAGAAAAATCTCTTTCTTCACCCATAACTCTGCTCACCATTCCAGTTAAATGAGACAATGAATCCCTTAGTTTCAATGACTATAAAAGTAAGGATAGGGTCTGCTTATGTTTTAAGTGATATGTGGAGCCTTTTTATCAGTTTACCAAAAACATATGGACCCTGAGATTACAAGCATGTAAGAAAGTCCACTGCTATTGTAAGTAGTTTATCTTTAATGAAGTAGAACAATCAATCTTGCCAACCCTAATACATAACTGGTAGCATTGATGGAATAATTATTGTGTGCCATCCATTGTTCTAAGTCATTATATATACTAATGCAATCTTGACAATAATCTTATGAAGTGATAGGTAAGGAAACTGAGGCACAAGGGGTTAAGTAACTAGGAAAGGTTCTCCCAGCTTGTGAGTGACAAGTCAAAACCAGATGGTCTTATTCCAGAGCACACTATACTATACTGCCTAATACCACAATTTATAGAGCTGTTGTGATGCCATCATCCACTTTTTGAACTAAAAAGTGTGTTTGGGGGTAGGGGGTGAGAGGAGCAGAATTGTAAATGAAAGCAGAAACAGAAAATTAAAAAAAAGATTTCCGTTGTTTCCAGCATTCTTAAAATTACAATACAGATCACCTTTGCAATAGCCCTCCACATTAGGGGGCAGCAAAAGAGTAAAAAAGGAGGCAAAACAAGGCTGGTGGAAGAATTTGTAAAATCTATTTGCAAACCTGGTAATATTTAGTAATTCCTTGCACCACGCCTTCACTACGTATTTTGTGGAAGAGGTATCAACAGCTCTGTGCTGCACAGATTCATAATTTTCCAAAAAGCTTGAGTTACAGCTGGTGGGAGAGATCATTGTATGTGTGCTGTACTCTTTCTCAGTCCCTTTCTAGGCTCATGATGAGACTAACGTGCTTCCAGAAATGGGACCATGTGATTGATCTTAATCATTAAACTATTTTGAAAGTGATTGTGTTTATTTCTAGATGTGATTTCTAAAAAGATCTTCTGTAACATTCTCCTTTGTCTGTCAGTGGGGTGCAAAGGATCCAGGAGAGGACTCGGAACAGAGGAGATGGTGATGGAACTGGCATCCTGAATGCCTATGTAGAGCATAGCCCCTTTCCATCTTTCTTGGGTGATGACGTGATAAATTAACCATTGTATTAAATTGCTAAGATTGTTACCATAGTATTTAGCCTGTCTTAAAGAATATGAACAATTTATCCAGTTTTCTATGAAGTTGCTGAGTCCTAGTTAGAATGGATAACCTGCAAGTCAAGTTCAACTTTAAAGGGCCTTTGGTGAATTCCTACATGCAAGCATGAGAATATTCTTAAGAATATTCCTGAAGTCATTTGAAGTAAAATTACAATAGTATTGAACTATTTAGAACAGCAAACTTCAGAATACCAAAATATTGTTTCAAGATACAGGCCGGTTCTAGGGGCTTTCTCATACATTCTCTCATTTAATTTCACGTTGCTTTTGGATGAACTAAGTTTACATTAGACAATGAAGCAAGACAGTTTTTCAGAGGAAGAGATATTATCCACCACAGGTGAGTAGGATTATTGGCTGTTCAGAATTATACTCTTTTAAACTGTGCAATGCTTTCTAATACAGCATCAGAAAAAATTCTAAATGGGAGATAAATGAGCCTTGTCAAATAACATCAACCATGTATTGCCCTCTCTGAAATGTTATGTGCACTCTTAGGAACCACTGAGGGCTCCATCTGCTGGCTGAACGTTTACTTAATTGTGTGTTTGCTCAGGGCATTGAAATCTCCAGAATCTGTAAATCAAACATGACCTATGCCCATCCACCAAAGTCTACTGTGTACAGACAAACGCACGCCAACAATCCATGGACACACTTGACACCTTCCAGATAGACCTGAACATTGGTCTAAAGGCTGTGAGTCCGCATATCTCCTTCCCATAGGTCAGCTAAAAAGTGAACTTTCCTGCTGATGCAATTCTAATCAGAAGAGAAAAAACAATTAAAAAAAATTCTTGGTTCAGCTATATTCAGCTATAAGTTGTGCAAACCTAAATAACTAAAGACTAAAAAAAGAAAGTTGTGTGAGGAATTCAACATTAATGTGACTCTATTAATAACACAAACTAGAATTAGAGCTCACAGCTGGGGGAAAATTAAAGAGCAAAGGTCACCTTCACATACAGATACTTCTCTTTAATTTTTCTGTGAATGTAGATTGATGGACAAAAGCTTTTATTTAGAAATTATCTTATTAAAAAGGTGAGTTGGTGCTGAGGTGAAGTGCACTAGGCTCTCGGGCTCAGCATTGTTAATGATTGAATGAATAACACAATTTATATGTTTGAATCCTGGCTAGCTAGATTAATTGATTGATTTGTCCACTTCCTCATTCCACAAAGTCTAAATTTCTTTTCCAAAATAGATAGTGTTAACTTCAAAATAAAAATAATGAAAGAATCAATACAAATGAAAAATGAGGGTAAAGAAGCTTAAGCAATTTAATGATATAGATGGCTAGTTGATACTAAGGTTCTATTAACACAAAACTTCAATGAAATTGGAAATTAATAATGCAATTTCGTTATGTATTTAAGGCAAACTTAGAGAATTCAGTTCTAATACCAAGGCTAGTGTCATGCATTTATAGTGGTTTAGAAAAATAATTCATGGCTTTATAACTTATTTTAGGATAAGTTGTCACACTAACATGATACTTCTATTATATTTTGAAATAATTAATCCATGCCAGTAATAGCCAAATAATAGGTGTGGTATGTGTTCTGATTATTCAATTCATCTTACATATTCCCCCCCTCTTTAAAGTTATTGATCATCATTATATAGGCTTATCGCTGTGTGTCTACCTTTGACATATATTAATATTTTTGAAATATAAATCAACATCACCTTTACACCTCATGATGGCACACTTGTATCATATTCTCCCTGAAGAGGTTTTGGAAACTGCCTGAAAACCACAGCAGAAAAGAATATTGCTTATGTCTTCTTTGAGTAGCTTAGTTTTATATAAAATAGATTTAAAAATATTCTGTAGCCGGTACTCTCTTCTAATATGCTCTGAGTGTACATCAAAGTCTGTAGTGAAACTTTGAATGTTTGCATTTTATCCAAGAACATTTGAATTGGGATTGCTTATTAGAAGCCTCTTTAGTCAAGTTGCCCTCTTCTGGGTTGGTATTGTGCACCTTTTAAATTATGTACCAAGATGATAGGTGATTTTTAAAACTTTGGTTGATATTGGAGCATGCGTCTTCAATTAATATCAAGCAAAAAGAGCAAAGTGTAACAAATAACAGAAGAGCAAAGTGCAGCAAATCATAACCACAGCCTTTATACATTTCAGAACTAATTGTGCGCATGGTCCATTTTCAAACATTATATACCATACCAAATAACTGTTCAGCTCACACTTCCTATTTAATTTTTCAAGAACAAGTTATACGGTAGAATTATTTAAATAGTTCTTCACATTGCCTATCAATCTATATTTAAACTTATGTGGTAATTTTTCATATAATGTTACCCAGCTATAAAATAAAGTAAGTGGCAGAGTAGATATGTTTTAAATCACTTAGAGCCATGATTGGCACAAAGTTAAGTACTAAAGTGTGAAATAATAGTAATACTAATGTTTTTACTACTGTTAATACTCAAAACTTTGTTACAAATGAAACATGTTTTATTCATGAGCCCTAAGATCTTATTCATAAGTGGTTTCCATTATCCGCATAACTACAACTTCAGTACACTTTTTTGCCTATGTGTTATTTTGATGCCAAAGACAATCAAAATTAAGGAGTGTGATTACTGAGTTATGGACGGTTAAAATGGGAAAAGAAGACTGATATTATATGATGGTGAAAAAACATAGGAAAGCATTCAGATTCATAATAGTTTGGAGTCATTTAATGAGAGATGAAAAATAGTGCCTTTCTCTTCCCACATTCATGACAGGCATTGCTTATGACAGCATCCTTTCCATAGTCATCACTTGGAATTCTACTTAATTAATGTTTAAGATTGTATAGCATAGTTTAGGAAAATATTAATATGATTAGTTTTAGATTTTTGTGTTACATTATAATCACAGCTATTGAGATATCTTATTTTCCAGTGATTTCTGATATGTGAAGGGTGTTACACAGTGAGGGAGGATGAAAAGGTAGGGGTAGGGAGAGTGTGGGGGGCACTACTTACCACAAGTTTTATTGTCTTCATCAGAACCATCTGGACAGTTTAATTCTCCATCACAAAATAAATCAATTGCTATACACTTTAGAGCATCAGCACAAGGCCTTGAACCAGAGGGGCACTCTACTGAAACACTTCCTTTGAAAAAAAATATACAATTTATAAATTGCCTGCATAGTATATTTCATTTCCAACCATAGGTACAATATTTACTATGTACTTTTTGTCATTTAGGTCCTTGTAAATGAGTATATCTTTCAATTTTTAAAAGAAATAGTATTTCATTTACTCATTTGTAAATATTTAGAATTTTTTAATTTTGCAGGAAAGACATGTTTTTGTCATAGATGTTAAATATGAATGGTCACTTTGTTGATTTTAACCTTGATAAATTAATAACACAATTTGGACATTTAGCCCCTAAAATTTACATCATATAGGATTGTTATATGTTATGGGGTACAACTTACTGGAATGTTTTCCACATCATCTGCAGTATCTGGTAATCACCACATTTACTTATAAACTTGTTATTCAAAAATATAGTGGCTGAAGTCAAGGTTTGCATTCTGCAGAGAATATTTGTTAATGAAAGCCATTTTATAGTAAAATAAATTAAATTGCCATTGCCTTGCTATACTGAGCAGTGGAGAAACCCAGTGGCTATTTCCATTCAAAATCTCTGCTTCTTGTGTCAAAGGTTCTCAGCAGGGAAGATGCAAACATGCCCTTGACAAATTCTGTCATACTCTAGCCTGGATCTGATCAGTTTGCACCTTTAGCCTGTCTTGTTCTCCACTTGCTTCTCTTCTACAGATATAGTTGCACCAAGAAACACATTTTACTTCAAGAAATTAAGTTGTAAATTTTAAGTGCATTTCTAAAAATGACATATTCTTATATGCCTAATAAAGACATATGTTTTTATTTTTCAGAGCAGTGTAAGAATTCGAATATTTTGTCTATGGCTAAACTGTTGGTTTAAAGGTTTTGAAAAATCTTTAAGCTCAACAGCATTTTTTTTTCCTGTTATTGTTCTTAACCTTAAAACCAGCACCGCACTGCCATCTGCTGGGGTTTAATAGTATAGTTGATTCTGAAATTTCTTATGCTCCGGAAATAGATTGAGCAAGTAAAGGTGCTGTATCAATGAATCTACTTAATTCATTAAGTATAAGTAATACTTAATTAGATACATTTATAGACAGGGATGCTGGGCATATACATACAACTAAATGAGATTTGTAATCGGCTTTAAATAAAATGACTATAAACCAATGGGAAATCCATGGATCATCTAACATCTAAAATAGGACAGGATAAAGATCAGAGCCATTCCCAAATGACAGAATACCCCCACTTAAGAGAATAAAAAATGATAAAAATGATATTTAATAAGCCTAAACTCATATTATAACTGTTGAAATATATGAGATCATCATCAAGAGAGCCCTTAATCATTGCATTCCTAACCCATGAAAGGCATAGTGTCAATAGAATTTCATAAGTGCTTGCTAAATAAATAAACAACAAAAACACTATTCTTAAAAGTCAATGTCACATTGAAGAGTAGTTAATAGAATTCTAGAAGAAAAAAAGTATTCTAAGCATTCAGCATTTGAGAGATTAGACTTTGGGATATAGCTAAGAAAATGTGTAATTTTGGTTGTTCTAATGCTCATGAGAACTTCACTTCTTTATGGTTAACATTTCTATCTGTTGCCTATTAAACTATATAGATTGAATCTTAAAACTACACTAGCAAGTGACACCACTTAGGATCCTTCAATCTTATTAATTCATTCACCCCACAAGTATTCATTGTCGATTTATTTGTGTCGCACATTTTTAAAGATGGAGATAAGAGGATGAGTAAGATGGAACCCCTACTCTCCCGGAACTTGGTGTTTAGTAGGAGACTGGTTCATTAATTTTTTTTAAAAAAGTGTAAAACCATGCTTTGGGAACAACAAGGATTAGGCAGTTAGTTTCCTTGGGAGGCAGAAAGTGAAACATCTTCACATAAAGTAGGTTTTAAAGGGTCTAAAACTACCAGGAAGAGGTAACTGTAATGTATATGTGGTGATGTGACAAAAGAACATCAATATATGGAAAACAGATGAGTCTAACTTATTTGGATGGTAGGGTGTTTGTGAAAGCCATGGACTATTTTTATCTTTGTAAAATGATAGAAATAGTTTTCCTTAGGCAATGGCATTGAAAATGTGTAATATGACAAGTTTGTGTTTACTTGAGACAATTCTGGGACCAAGTGAAGAATCATGTGGAAGAGAGACGACCAACGAACCAGCTGTTTCAATGGTCAAGGTGAAAGTTGATGAGGACTGGAACTCCTGCACTAGCAGAGAAGATAGGTTATGGAATCGACTGCTATTTTATAGCTGGAATTGATAAGCTGTAGTGACCAAATGTGCTCCTGACCAAACATAGGTGGAGAATGGGGTGCTAAAAAATGATACCTACACTTTTGGATTGACTAGTTGAGTTACTAATGATCATAAGTCGCTATAGTGATTTCAAGAGGGACAGCTGGTGGGATTAGAAAACAACTCTAATTTGAAGTATTTTGATTTGAAGGTGGAAATCTTATGTACTCTAGCTTAGGTTGTACTCTCTGCCTTTCATAAACACTTTCAGTTTCTTTGGTCCAAAAGAAGAGAAGTTCCTCATATTGAAAACAATATGGAAACTAAAATATAATTGTTATATAAGAGTCCTGCATTTTAGAATTTTATCAGATTGTATTTTTACCTTCTCTTCTGTCTCCCTCTCATCTCCTTATATTCACATATATGATGACAATTTCCAGCAAAACCATTAATTAAAACATTAACTGTTATAGAAATTAGCCAAATGCCAGTTTTTTAAAATGACCTCCCATTCTCAATGCTAGAGTTCTTTCACTTGTGAATCACTTCATTGGTCATTTCATTCCTTATTTTTTTGCTCTGGTATTTCTCTTTTTCTAAGAAGTCTGTATGGTACTCGTCAAAAGGGAATTTTTAGCCAAAGAGTTAAGAAATTATATTTAAAGAAGTGTGCACACAGAGAATAACATTTGACTATATTTGTTAGAAGCTGATCAGATTGCATGAATATTAATTACTTTGGTCCTGAATGAGGCAAAACCTGCACATGTTTTCACAGCTATATGGATTTTATCATCAGGATATTGATATTGTTGGCATATTATGAAAACCCACCAGTAAGCTGGTATTATTTGGAACTCTGTAAATGGAAAGCTTTAATTATCCATTTATACTTGTGTTATGAAGGATTCAGTATAAACTCAGTGTGACTACTCAGAGTTATCCAAAGTCACAACAATTTCCAGGGAGTTGTGGTGGGGAACTTTCAGTGCACACTTTGTGGAGGGCCTGTGTGAGGCATTGTGGAAGGTAAATAGAATGAAATCCACTACTTTTTTTTCTTCCAAGCCAGTTAGAATGTTACATAAAAGATTATAATTTGAAAATTAGCTTTCAGAAATCTTAGATTTTTATTTTCACTCTTATTTATTGAGGGTGATGATGCTTGGTGGCTAAAACTGAGACAAATTAAGCCCCACATCTTTACAGCTTACAGTGGAAGTATAATCTGAATCCAAGAATGCCTGCATTAGAGGCCAAGTTCATTTCATTACACTGTATTAGAAAAACAGGTACCACTTTACAGAAATTCTCATCTGCTTTGATAGAAAATATTCAATCTTTTTAGCAAGATTATGGCTAGTTAATTCAATACAGTGAAGAGATCCTTTAATGGTTCTGATACCATGTGCATAGGGATGTCTTCTATTAGAGGAGGGTGCTTAGCAATATATACATGTTGTTCTTTCAAATGCAGAGAAAGAGAAATACTTAAAGTCACAGTATATTTGGTGTGGATAAAGTACCTGTGTCTTAGTCAACTGAGGGGCATAATTCTACCTTAGCTTTTCTTGACCCAATTTCATGTTCTTCACTAACTCAGTCAATTCTATTTCTTCAGTCTCCAAACCCTTCCCCGTAGTGGAACTGCAAGAAGATTGCATTTTGTATGAGACCAAGATAACCTGTAACAGTGACACTTGTTTTTCCTCAATCTTTGCCTGCCCAGTAAGGAACAAAAGACTAGTACAAGCTGTATTCTAGAAATCCTCCAAACGTTTGAAGAATTGCCCTAAACAGCCAGCCCCTCGAGGCACTCTCCAGCAGCCGAGAAATCAATCAGTTTCCATCTCTCTCTGGTAGGGTTCCAAATGGGTTAATAAAACTTTACAGTGATTGGCAACAAAGGCAGATGAACAAGAGAACATAATCCTCATGGATTTTGTACCCACTGACATGCAAAAATTCTCTTTGGCAAAATTTATAATAGTACTAATGCCAAGTATATGATGCATACATTTGTTGATTTTTCTCAAACTTTGTCTTCCAGGCATGTAAAAGTGAGAATAAACTTAACGTCCCTGAAAGGCACATTCATAATAAATTACTGCTTGGAAACTGCAGAATTTCAAGTTTAATTGCCTCGTTCCCCTCTATAAATCTATAGTATGTTGCTGTATGAGAGGAAAAAATGAGAAGGATGACTGGGGAGTCATGGATCCAGAAAGAGAGGGAATGTAATATTTTGCAACCTAGTTACCTTATTATAATCCTCTGAGGATTGATTAAGGTAACTCAATATTGTCTCCAGTACAGGAAAGCTTTTGAAATGAAGTTTTTTTGGTTAAATAAATGATCAGATTAAAATGAACATTACTGAGTAGAGTCATCTTGTTTTAATTTTAGTTTAGATTTTGAACAGTCTCTGTAAAAAAATATCCGACTGCTCTTTTTTTTCTGTCTACATCATAAGTGGGAAGGGAGAAAGGATCTGACATCAGTTGTGTGTCTCCTTTGAGCCAATCATGAATTGAGACGGTACAGTGGTATTTGTATATCTCTCTTTTAATTCTCATGATCACTCTCTCAGATAAATATTCTAATTTTTATCTTTCAGATAACAAACATAAAGTTTGAAAAGACTAGGTGGCTTGCCAAACACTACCTATAGAGTAATTGGTGGAACTAGTTAATGGTGGATTCACCCATGCCTTTCAATGATTGACAATTATGTATTTCCTATTGGTCTTCATTTTGAATACCAAATGTTCACATAAAGTGTGGCAGATAGGACTAAATGTATATTGATACCATTCTTATAGTTCACATGTAGAAAAGAAGATTTCCGTTCCACTCCTTAGGAGGGAAAGTATGGGTGGAGTATTATTCCCATGCTCTCTGCCCCCCATTCATTATCTCCTTCAGTCAGAGGAAACTGGGCATATGATTCAGCCACTTATATTTCTGATGAGTTTGCTTCCAAGATAGTAAAGGAAAAAAACTTATCTGTAGTCTAAGGTTTTCTTGCTTTAACACTGTTGCTCCACCTCCTTGACCCCCCTTCCCACATAAATCATTCCACATACTTCTTTTAGGACATTGTATATACTTAACAGGTCCTTGATACTGTGGGTTATATAAATCACTCAATGGATCAATAAAGAGACAAATAGAAAAACAGGGTGCTAATTTGGATATTTGTTTCTGATTTTCAAAGTTTTAAAATAAGTTTCTCAAAATACATTAAAACTACCTTTTCAGTTAATTTTCAGTTAATTAGCCATCATCAATCTTAAAAGCATTTTTTGGAGGTATGTCGAAAGGTGAATTTCAATGCTGCATTTTCCACATTGAAGAAGGGATTGTAGCCTGAAGAGCAGTTTTATTTTTCAATATGTTGTGTTATTATATGAGTAGGACATAAATACAACTCCAGGCAGGCTTATCTTACCATAAAAGACCTTTATGGATTTTGATATGTGATAGCTTATTTCATAAAGCCTTTTGATTAATGATTCATATCACTTTGCTTTTCAAACAACACATCAATCATTTTATTTAAGAAATGTATTAAGTCTTCCCCAGAAAGACATTTATAGCTTCACAATATTCTTTCCTTGTATGTATATAACATTTGAGGTAAGTTCTTGTAAGATAAAAATAGCAGTATTACTTTAAGAGCTAAAGATCTATATACTATTGCCTTATGGAGCTTATCTGAAGAATTTAGGGAAATACCCAGGTCATTCAAGAAGATTAAGTTAGGACCAGAGAAAGCACTTTAGCTGACCAGCAGATAAACAAAAGCACAGTAGAAATTAATAGGAATCCAGAGAAATTGGCACATTAAAGATATATACCAGAAGTTGGCATAAGGTAGCTCCTTAATGAAAAATTGTTGAATGAATAAATCCAAGACTACTTTGGTACTGGTCTGGCAACCAGTATCATGGTGAGAAAGCAAGCATGTCTAAATTGTATTCAAAGACAATAGTCAAAAAATAAAAAATCCCTCACATCTGATGAAAGCTACATTCCTTCTGGCAAACGTTTTGATCCTACTGGTGGCATTCTTAGCAATGGATAATAATTACGGTTCTAGTAGATGGAGGACTGGAGTGAAGTCAGATAACCCAGGCATTTAGCTTTAATTATATTGGTCACTTCCAGTGAGATCTTAGGTTAAAACTGCACACTTTTATGCTCCAGTTTTCTCATATATAAAGTGGGAGTAATATTAATTGCTGTGTTTTTAGAGACTTCTCAGACCCTAAAATAAAACATAAGTGAAAACTTAAAAATGATACAAATAGTATTATTAAAACTCACCTGAAGTTTACAGAGGATCTAGGTTAATCTGATGTTATTTCAAACAGAAACTTGGGATATACTTAGATCATGGGCTTTGGAGTCCAAAGGAATTGCTTAATTCCTGAGTTTGACACTTAGAAGCTGTGTGACTCTGAGCACATTGCTTATTATTTATTTCTTTTTAAGTGGAAGAACTATTACCTCTCTATACGATCATCCTGAGAATTAAATGAAGCAATGTTTATAATATATAACACCTGGCCCAAGGAGATACTTAAAAAATAGATCTTTCAAATATTATAAAAATGATCAGGATTATAGATAATACCAAAAGTAATATTATAGCTTTTACTTTTATTTTTTTAATTTTAATTTTAAAAATAATGTATATATATAAATTTTATATTTGGATGACCTTGAAATATTCAGGAAAAATTTATTATTCATAATTTATGGGAAGCAGTTTTCAGAGACGTGAAGAGATATGCCCAGTAGTTCTGGTAACTGGCAGTGTTAAGATTAACATTCAGATCTTCTGACTTCAATTTAAATTATGTTTCTTTAACAAAATAAGTTTACATTTTAAGATAACACAGGTAATTTTGAAATTATTGAAAATCTCCCAAAGCAAACTCTTTTGATAGTGGTGTGTTCTAAATTTTTGAAGCGAAATTCTAAACTTTTGAGCAGTATTGACCAATTATAGTTAGAAAGACAGAGTGAAGAAATGTTGGAAGAGCAAAGTTACCATTAAGTCCTGGACTCTACAAAGAGTATAATATATTCTAAAAGTCATCATTGGATCATATTTAATTTTTTTTTCCTAATTTCAAGCAAACTTACAAATGTCATGGCTTTAACCCCAAGGATGCATGATCAGAGTCACCTTTTGGAGTGTTACACATACACACCTACACACACACACACATGCACACATACCTATAGATATGTATATAAACCGAGTTTAAAATATGAAAGAAACAGTAAAGTTGGAAATGTGTATCCTTGACATGTGTAACTAGGCATGGTGAACTCTACAATATTATGAACTACATTATTCTTAACCATATGCATGCTTCCTCCTACATTTTAATATTAAAAACAAATGTCTCAGAGTTATAAGAAAAAGTTCTTAATGTCATGGAGTTTGATGATCACTAAATTACATTTTAAAAAATGCTGTTAAGTACTGACCTGAAGTTGTTGCAGGGCTTACTGTTGAGAAATTCTTCAAAGATGCTGGAATAAAGTAAAGTTGATTTGAACCTTGGGCTTATAATGTAAATATATTACAAATTGTGTGCAGTATGAATATTTTTTCATAGGGCCTCTTATTTCTTAGAGTTCCCATTTTATCCTATCTCATACTAAATGGTCCTATTATTATTTGATTGTGATACAGTTGATGAATTTCCAGAAACTGTGTATTCTCTATATGAGAAAAGTTTGCTTTATTTTACCCATTTATCGATTTATTCATCATTTATATAGAATAATCTGTGTTTGAAACAAATAATATAACATTGCACACCAGCTCTTGTCAGACCTAGCACCAGTCATTTTGTGCTAAAATATATAAAAGATGTCAAAATAATCTTGCAAATGAAAATATCTACTGGGAACTAAGTACTGCTTAAGTATAAAATGCTTTTCACATAAAAGATAAAAACTAGCTATTTTCTTCACCCTTTTTAATATGTTCAGTAGTTTTAAAAATAGAATCACAGCTATCTTATATGAAAGATATAAAAGAAACCAAAGTGTTTCTTATGAAAAACCCTTATCCAGTGAATTTTTTTATTCAAAATTATATTTATGGTAATGAGGTCAAGAGATATATTCACTTCTACTTGCAAGGTGATTTATTTCAACATTTCTTCATTTCTGCAATGTCTTTTTCCTACAAGATCTATAGCAGTTTCATAAGTGATGTATGGTTGATCATTGATGAAGAAGATAACAAAATAAGGTTTTTAAGATTTTTTCATAAAACAATATTTTAGTATTTTATTATGTTTAATTTGACAGGGCACTATATACAAGTCTAAGGTATATATGAAAAGACTTGACCAATTTTAAACTGTAATAAATTAGAAATTTATGTAATGCAAGTGACACTAAACTAAAATACCTAAAATCAACTGCAGTGTCATGTTTATAAATGTTTTTTTACATAGTTCAAAAAATTAAATGTAACTTCAACTTGTGGAGCATATTCTTGACTTGATATTGTGATATAGTTTGTTGCATCCATGATACTTGTTCTAAGTTAACTTAAAGGATATGGTTTTACTAAACAAATAAATATTTTTAAAACCAAACACTCCCCTCCCAAATAGCCCAACTGTACGGAGTCATAAAAATAAATTTCAACACACCTGTCAATTAATTTTATATACAGGCTATAAGAAACTGATGCATATTCAAATAAAAATAACCAGAACCCAACTTTTGAAGTGAAAAGTGATTATTAAAAAATATCAATCATCATTGTTCAAAGATTAAGCCATTGCAAACAAAGTTTAGTATAATGGTTAAAAGCACAGACATTAGTCAGACCACCTGGTCCCTATTTCCTTGATCCAACCCTATATAGCTGAAATCTATCAAATGATCTGAGCACTGGTCTTCTCATCTGTAAAGTGGGGATAGCGAAGACATTACGTAACAAGGGTGATGTGAGAAGTAAATGTGTCCATAGGCAAAGCACCTATTTTACCTAATAATAATTAGTAGTAGCTTTCAGCTTATCTGCATCAGACAAAGATCTAAAACAGTCTGTGCTCCAGCAACTGTGCCAGAGGGAAACAACGCATCAGTAGAGATGCTTAGGTTTAACATTAGCTGTCTTCTCACTAACTGGCCCTGCAGGATAGAGCAGGAAGCTTAACCAAAGAGGAAACTGTGCTTGTTGAACCAATGCTGTAAAGCAAAGCAACTATACGTCTGCAATTTCATATCTACTATTACAAAATCAAATAACAAAACAAAAAACGTCTTTATGTTTTTATATATTTTATTTAGAGGTCAAACTATACTAATAATCTCATTACATAGCAAAACTATTTGAACTGGCATTAGGCTGTTTAAAGTTTGGTTGTATTCTACTTGATGTGGATATTTTTTATTTTATTTTTTTAATGTATTGATTAGCTTTTAAACATCCAAAAATTTATGAATTCCAAGATAAGAGACAGTGGACCTGGATGGGTCTGGCAAATTACTATTGTTTTCAACCAAAATAAGGACACAATATAATGTTTGTTGAATTAAACGGGGAATAATTAGAATGGGAAATTTAGTATAGCCTAAGCCATTCATGGACATTATTGTCCTGCTATTATTTTCATTACTTTTATTGCTTCCCCTTTGATTTATTCATATGTTAGAAATTTTCATCTTATTAAAAATCAAGTTTTACTTTTTATAAATAAGTACCCAGGATGATCAAACTCATTGACACTTCTTTTTTTCTGCTCTTGTTCTCAACCTGCCACATAATTTTGTAATCCAATAGGGTCTATGACTCTATCAGAAAGTAATGAGTGTCACTTTCTGAAGCGAGTTCCTGGAAAGTTGGGGTGTGCTTGACCAATGCCAAGAATGTGGTAAGACCCACAAACATTTATGCACAGCAATACGTCAGAATCTTTTTGATATTTGATATTTTATAAACTTTTGCTGGGTATTTTTCTTCAAATACAGTTTCTCCATATTTCACATTTCTCATGTAAATGTGTTACCTCAGGCAATAAAACTTGTTTCTAAAATAACGGCAATCCCATTGCTTCCTTGGTATATAGCTAGAGTTTTAATTTCATACTTTAATGATTCAAAGAAATCAACTAAGGTTCACAGATACCTGTGATATCGATGCTGTTCAAATCAATATGGAAAGTCACCAGTTGGCTGGATTTATTTGCTTCAATGCCTTGAATCAGTTCTTCTTTTACATTTTCATCTGACACCCAATGGGCAAAGAAAAGATCAAATATGACTATAACGCTGCCATTTCTGCAAAGCCAAAGATGATAGAAGAGGAAAAAGTCAACTTTCTTGAAATGATTTGTGCTCAGTTTATGTAAGATACTTTTGAAATTCTCTAGTTATGACCTTTTGAATCCTTATTATACCTGTGCAACGTAGGTTATGTCAAACATTATCTTTACATTATAGGTGGAAGAAAAAGGAATTGAAAGACTAAATGTTTCTCCAAGAACACAAAGACACATCCAGAACTGGAACCTGAGTTTTCTGGTTTTATGTTAGCACATTAATCTCCAGGCCAGATGTTCCCCACAGTTCACTTGTGTCAAATTAAATTAAATCACATGGTATCATGATGTCTATTCTTATTTTACGGTTTGAAGGAATGAAGGGTGTAGACTTGTAATCTTTTACAGACGATTTCTAAGTAGGAAGAATTCTAAGAATTCTAAGTTTCACCAATTTCAGAGAAAATTATTCTGTATAATTTATGAAGGCCTTATAGCAAACTTAAACCAATAATCTATATCTACTCACTTATTTATTATTAATGTAAAATATCAAAATGCACCCTGACTTCAAAAGATAGAAAGAAAACAATCATACCTGGGATACTGGGAATATTAAGTCTCATGGCCAAGAGCTGGTATTACCTTGTCTATATCATCTCTAACTATCACATTTAGTGTTTAATTATATGGTGCAAATCATCTTCCCTTTTATTTATTCCTTGCTCTGAAACATGCATTTTAAAGGTTTTCTTCATTGGTGATTTGTTTATAGATTAGAGAAGCATAAAAATGACTAAAATTCATTTTTATGATCTTCATTCTATGTTCTGCTTGTTACAATTAAGAAAATCCTAAATGGCCTACAATGCTCAGATTTTCCCTCTCCTTCCTACATTCTGTCTTGACTCATGCTATCCTTTTAGGATACAACGAATCGGAAGACAAACGCTTTAGCTCTGATCTTCATTTTGGACTCCTCAGTAAGCTGGGGATACTCAGAGTATACTCGGATCCTTAAGAGGCAGACTACGGAGAATCAAACCTGGCATTGTCTGTTTGCTAGTTCAAAAATCTAAACATCATGCTCACATCCTTGTGATACCTATAAGTTAGTGAGATTCTTGTTTATTTGTCCTTATACCTGTTTTGATAGGACCTAGAATAAATGTTATTTTTGTCTCTATTACTTTATATAGGATCAGAATATTCCTGAAAGATCATGGTAAATCAGCATCTCCTCTAGGAACAATATTCCTTCTAAATGTCTGTGTCACTATTCAAGTTTACAGTTTAGCAGAAGTGATTCCTTTCTATGTAACTGTTTTTTTTTGAAACAGGATATTCTGATGTAATGACTTTATACTTCACCTCTATTAAATAAAATTTTAAAAAATATTAGCATGTTTAACTTTCCAATCATATGCTTAAATCATAGTAACCAAATCTTGTAAGCAAGCATTTTATTCCCTCCAATACTTAGTAAGTATTTAGTTCAGGGTTTCCCAAACATACCCATACATGGCATCACTTACTGTCTTTGATAAGAATGTATTTTATCACAGACACCACTTTGATCTACTCTCTCCCACTTGTTAGTTTTTTCATGCTGGCTGATCCTTAATTTTATTTGACAATAACTCTGTTTTCCCCTGGAAAGGTGATGTCTTCTCCAACCATCCTCATGTCAATGATGGTTTTATTTATGGGCATATTACTGGGCCCTGGTCAATGGGGTTTGAGGGGACATTGATGGGAAACTTCCAAAACACTTTCCCATATCTAACAAAGGAAAGGCTCATAGTAAAACTACTATTCTTTGTTCAACATTATTACATCTACATGTGATTGCTGAAACTGCCACATCCATCTCTGGGTCATGAGATGAGCTATGGTCCACAAGCTAAAGATAGCATAGTAAAAGGAAAAAACACCAAAATTTGTTATGATGTCATTGTGACTGTGCCACTGAATTAACTGCTGCTGAAACCTCCAGATGTCCTGTGATATCAGATGATAAACATTTATCATTTAAGGAACTTTAGCTCTGATCTTCATCCTGTGTTCTGCTTGTTACAATAAAGAAAATCCTGAGGTGGAGCCAAGAGGGCGGCGTGAGTAGAACAGTGGGAATCTCCTCCCAAAAACATATTTTTGAAAATTCAACAAAAAACTTAATCCTAAAAGAGACACTAGAAGACGCAGGACAAGAGCCAGACTACATCCACACCTGCGAGAGTCCAGCACCTGGTGAAAGGGGTAAGATACAGGCTGCAGCCCAGCGGGACCCGAGGCCCCTAACCCCAGCTCCCGGAGGGAGGAGAGTAGTCAGAGCGGGGAGGGAGAGGGACCCCCGGACTGCTAAACACCCAGCCCTAGCCATCCGCACCAGAGCACAGACACAGTGCATGCGTGGGGTGCTGGATACTAGGGAAACAGGACAGTAAGACCAGTGAGTGGGTTGTGAAGCTGGTGCCCCTGTGACAAAGAAAAGCAAGTGCTTTTTGAAAGTCTTAAAGGGACAGGGACCCCACAACTGGACGGAAGCATCCAAGGTCACAGTCCAGCAGCTGGAAATTCCAGGGAACTCCAGGTGCACTAACCCCCTGGGCAACAGCTCTGAGACCCCTCATGGAGATAAACAGCCAAACAGCCCCCCATCCATTACCCCTCCGGCGCCCCACCATAGAAGAGCAGCAGCCTGAGGCTGGCCACGCCCACAGCAAGGGAGCTTCCTCAATACCTGCCGGGCAAGATACAGAGACGCAGTCTACATGCAACTGCCCAACACAAGCCACTAGGGGTCTCAGTTGTCCCAGTAAAGAAAGGCCAGGAGCAAGTGGAAAGACTTGACTCTCCCAGCTGACAGATGAGCCAATAGCTCACCATTGCACCTATCAACATGAAAAGGCAAAAAAATTTGATCCAGATAAGACTAACCCAGACAGCTTCGACATCTTCTACATCTTCCCCTGAGAAGGAAC